CTGACTGAAACCTTTTGGATCGCTCCGTTCCTGTTTGCCTTCTCTGGGATTAGAAAGCACTTGCCTTACTTCCTACCCTTTCCCTTATCTCTGCCTACTCATCCATCCTTCACAGTCTCAGCTCATGCCTTCTCTGCATGACGGTTCCCCCGTGTTGCTCCACTTAGGATGATTATTACAAGAACTGACCACGAGGCTGAAAGAGAACTTGAGAGATCCTTTTTTCAGTCAGTGGTTTTTAAACTTTTCTGTTATGTAGCTGAATTCTTATAAGAGTCTTCAAGGAACCTTACTACTGCATTTGTCTTCAGTGGTTTAAGAAAACCTGTGATTCTGATACAATCCAGTCTCATTTAAAAATAGGGAAAGGCGGTCTCTGGGGTCACAAAGAGTTGGACATGACTGAGCACACACATACATAAAGGAGGGCTACAGAAAGAAGTGACTTGACCAATGTCAAGTTAGTAACAGATGTGAGGTACTCTTCGGCACTCATCCATTTAGCAAATATTCACTGAGCACCTACTATGTGCACTGCTCCAGGCCTTTTTTATACAGCAGTGAAGAAAGACACCTGGTTGATAAATGATTTCCACTCACACAGTGCTTACATTCTAGCTAGGAAGAAAGAAATGTTATGAACTAAATATACAGTATGGTGATTATAAATAAAAGATATGAATAAAATGTATAGTATGTTAGTGATAAGGACAAATAAGAAAATAATAAAACAGCAAAGAGAAGAATATGACAGTTTAGACAGCTGGCGAAGAAAACTTTCCCTTGCCAGATCACTTCTAAGTAGAGACCTCTAGCCATATCTAAGGAAGAACATTCCAGGCAGAAAAAAAGCCCATGCGAAGACAAACGGGGAGCTAGCCTGATTGTTTTAGGAAACCACGAAGGCCAGTGTGAGAAAATAAGGAAGAGAGTAATAGGAGGAAGAGTACTAGAAACTAAGGGAGAGCCTCACTGTTTATAGACTTTAGCTGGAGAGTTTTGAGTAGCTGAGTCATAAGACTTGAGTGCTGCATTGAAAAAAGACTGCAAACGACCAGGGATGGAAGAAAGAGAAGCTTATGCAATAGCAGAAAAGATGACAATGACTTAGACAGGGGAGGCAGAAGAGGAAAATATGATTAAATTGTGGGTATGCTTCTACGGAATATCCAATAAGATTTTTTAATGGACAAACGTGGGCTGCTGGGGGTGGAGGACAGGGAAGGCTTCAAAATTCATTTGGCACCTGGAAGACTGCAGCTGCCAAAACTGATAGCTTTGGAGTAAGGGAGTATCAGGAGTTACTGAACACAAAAAGGTGAACACAGATGGCGACGATTTGGGGTAGGAGATCAGGAGTCATGAAACACATAGAGTTTAAGAAGCTTATTAGCTATCCAAGTAAAAATGTCAAAACAGGTAAACTGTCATGGAGTTGAATACAGTGCTGGAGCCTGGGGTAGAGGTCTGGGTTAGGTATATAAATTTGGGAGTCATTAACATATATGATATGAACTACAGATATAAAAGGTAACAATGCCAGACTCTGGGACACTGTACTCTTCAGAAGCAGGGGAGATGAGGGGGAACTAGCACAGAAGGCTTTTTGAAAAGGAGTACACAGAAATGCAGCAGGAAAATAAGGCAAATGTGGCATTACCCTGACATCTGAGTAGCAGCATTTCCAGGAGGAAGAAACTGTGCCAAAGGCTGAAAACAGATCAAACATGATGAGATTTGAGAGGAAAATGACATGCAACACAGACATGACTGCTGATTGTGAAAGAATTTTCATGGTGTTATAGAGGTTAAAAAAAAAAAAAGCAAAATATCAGATGAGAGACAGTTTAGCAGAGAATGAGAGGTGAGAAACTAAAGACAGAAAATAATTTTGTTGGGAACAGGTCAAGAAAAGATTTTAGGGGTGATAAGGGACCGCTGTTTAAGAAAAGCAGTGCTTTTCCCATTGCCTAAAACATTCCATTTTGTGTTGTAGTTAAGTCTGTACAACTCTATGTCTCCACTCATAAACCAGTTACCCACTGGAGTGGGAATTGTATCACACAGCTTCTGCAACCAACTGTGGCTGTGAGCAGCAAGTTACTTCACACCACCACAGGATTTCAGTTTCCCTCTTTTGTAAAATACTGGGAGAATCTAGAGATCTGATCATTTTGAAGATCTATTATAGTTCTGACATTTTATTGTTCCACAGCCTCTCCAAGTCCTCTAAATAGTGTTTGAGGAACTGAAATCAAAAATCACATTAAGGCTACATTTAAAAGACGTTTCCTCATCAAATTTTTACATAGCTTACTGAAAGTAATACACAAAACTATCAGATACTCAGAACAACCTGGAAACTTTATAATGTCCTCCAAAAAAATCAATTTCACTTATTACACTTTACTAATAAAAGGTTTTTTTAAAAAAAAGAAAAGTGAAAGTCACTCAGTCGTGTCCGATTCTTTGCGACCCCACGGACTATACCGTCCATGGAATTCTCTGGCTAGAATACTGGAGTGAGTAGCATTTCCCTTTTCCAGGGGATCTTCTCAACCCAGGGAATGAACCCAGGTCTCCCACATTGCAGGCGGATTCTTTACCAGCTGAGCCACAAGGGAAGCCAAATCTATACTAATATTCTAGAAACTTTTTTTAATCTTATGGTAGTAGGGTATTTAAGCAAAGAGTCTTCTAACACAAGTCCAAAACAGTTCATCTTAAAATACACCAAAACTCCATGCTCTTAAAAAAAGACAACTATCTTTTCAAAAAATTACCTAACTAATTCAATTTGGGTCTCAGGTGTGGGATCTTCGTTGCGGCCCACAGGCTTAGTGGCCCTGCAGCACACGGGATCCTAGTTTCCCCACCAGGGACCAAACCTGCGTCCCATCATTGGAAGGCAGATTCTTAACCAGTGGACTACCAGGGAAGTCCCTGACAACTATCTGTTGCCATTAGTAAGTTTAAGACAGTATGACAGAGGTCAAGCCTCTTATTTTAACTAGCCTGATTCAGACTATGTCTATTTTTATTTGATATTTATTATTTATCTATAAAACAAATTAGAGGTCCTACTTACAAAGAGATTAATAAAAAGTATTATGGCTTTCTTACAAATAAATGGACTCTATAAATTCATCACTGTTTGTGGACCGATGACTTATTTGGTTTGACTTTTTTGCTATAGGCCTGAATCACACATACAATGCTTAGCCCTGAAGATTAAAACCCAGCAACATGAAAAGGATTACCTTGCTATTATTTTCACTCTTTAATAAAAAGAAAAGCCAAATATAAACAGAAAAGTAGGGGAATTTTAGGATATGTTAAAGAAACAAGAACTTCAATTTCTCTTAATTACACTGCTGGTCAAAATAGAGACATGGAAGAAATTAACATTAGCAACTAACCATGTAAATCCACAAAAAAATGACTTAAACTGCTTATTATAGTGCCAGGACACAAAATGTGTTCTCAAATACCTATCAAAAAAGGGAGAACAAACACACATACTAATAGTACATCCATACTAAGCAATAAAATGAAATTAACTATGGATAAATACAACTTGGATGACACTTAAAAGCATTATGTTGAATGAAAAAAAGAAGCCAGTGTAAGAAGGTGACATACTATAAGATTCCATTCACATGACACTCTTGATGAGACACAACTGTCAAGATGGAGAACAGGTCAATGGCTGAAGGGGATGGACTGGGGAAGGGGTGACTGACCATAGAAGCCGAGCATGAGGGAGTTCTGAGGGTGATGGAACTGTTCTGTAACCTGATTATGGTGGTGGCTACACAAATTTACACTTGTGCTAAAGTTCACAGAACTGTATAGCAAAAAATATCAATTTTACTTCCTCAGTTAAAAAAATGAAACAAAAATTACTTTTAATTCCAATACTCCAAAAACTCATTACTCCAGTCCATAATCATTAGAAAACATCAAAATCAAATTGAGAGGCAGTCTACAAAATATATGACCAGTACTCTTCGAGGTGTCATGGTCAAAAAGGACAAGGAACCATCATAGATTTGAAAGAAGACAACGACAACTAAATGCAATGTGTGTATCCTGGGTGGATCTTAAGACAGAAAAAGGACATTGGTGGAAAAACTATAAAAATCCTCCTGAGGTCTACACATAATTAACGGCATTGTACAATGCTGATTTTTAAATTTTGATCATTGTATTGTCACTGTGTAAGGTGTTCACAGTAGTGTAGGACGGATTAAAAAATACACATGAAAAAAAAATACACAGGAACTCTCTATACTTTTACTGCTATTCTTCCATGAGCCTAAAATCATTTCAAAATAAGTTAAATGCAAAATCTTTAAGAAAAATGTTTGCAATAATTTCATAAAGCAAAAATACATTTCTCTTTCAAAAACAAATCAATGCCATCCTGCATATTTTGATTACTTCAGCATAAGTTTGATTACCTAATGTAGGTCATACCCACACTAAGAGCATACATGTTCTCTGAAAGACAGAAAATAGATTCTATGGTAAATTATATGACTTATCAGTTGTGCCCACCTTCAGGGTATACATCTATAACTAAAAATTCTATCAACCTTCGATTTCCTAACTGAAGAATGGAGTTCTTTCTAGAAATTCCCCAAAGATCCAGCAGTCAGGACATGGTGCTTTTACTACTGGGACCCAGGTTCAATACCTAGTTAGGGAACTAAGATCCCACAGGTTGCAAGGTGCAGCAAAAAAAAAAAAAAAAAAAATGAAGTCCTTCTTAAGGAATTTCTCAGAAATTCTACCTCTTAATATTCTTATTAAAAAAAACAAAAAAATTCAATGGCCTACCAACACCCACAGAATAAATTCCAATACAAGATATTTCTGCATTTTGACTTTGGTCTACCATATTACAGCCTCACCTAGGACTATGCCACCTCCCAATGTTCACCCTATAATTCAGTTTTGCTGAACTTATTAATTCAGATCATGTCATGTTTTCTCACCTCACATTTGCTGGCCTTCTCCACCCAGGAAATCTCTTGCAAGACCCTTCTCTCTTCCACCATTAGAAGGAAGAACTGGTCACTTCCTCCTTGTGCTCCCACAGTATTTTGTAAGTGATCTAATAGATAAACAAATCACATTGCTTACCCATTCATACATACATTTATGCAAGGTTGCAATACACAAAGCATTCTAGGTTTGGGGGACCTCAAGGTGAATTGATTTCCTTTATAATTCCTCCCACCTACTCTACTGGAATTTCTGGTGAAGACACTGTTTTTGTTTTTAACCATTTATTTACATGTCTCACTGGTCACTTATTTCAGCCAAATAGCATTCCTGACTCACAACAGTGTTTAATAAATATTTGTTGAAAGAAAACATTTGAAGGTTCAAGTAAACACTGGTTCAATGATAAATCTGCTTTTTCTTTTCCACACAATCCATGCCATTTTCAGGTCATTTCTGCAAGTCGAAATCACACAAAAAGCAAGACCCCTTTCTCCCTTTCGCGAACAGTCCAATTCCTATGAATAAGTTGGTTAAGCTGGCTCTGGCAGCCCGATTTAACGGACAAGCCCATAGCAGCAAAGCTCTGTGTTTGTTAACAGAGAACAACTTCTAGATGAGTCCCGGTGCTTACACCTGAATACCTCATTATGTTAACAGTCCACAAATAAAATCAGAGACAGAGAACAAGGAGGAGACACCCAGCAGATCTGGACCGATTAGCCAAACATGGCCCTTTCTTTCGACTTCTAGGTCTCTTGTTTCTTTCAGGCTTTTACTTATACAGCCTCCTGTCAACAAACTTCTCAAATTATAAATAAGTTAGTAAACGTTTCAGTAAAAGGAATATTCAAATAAAATATTTAGACTGAAGGCTTTATTCATGTTTCACAACACCATTCAAATGAATACTTAATGCCTTTTCTGCACTGATAATTTAATATCAACACAAAGGACACACTTTAGCTAGAGCAAACTGCTCTGCTACTCCTCTTCCACACTTGAAACCATACCACTGGTATAAATGAAACCTGAAAATTTTAAGAGTATTTCAGATTTATCATCATTTTATGAAATATTTCTTTAATGTTCTCAAAGTTCTATCTTCAGGTCTCATTCATGTACCACACAGACTGTTCTATCCAACCTGACAACTCCATTCCAATGTCTGATTGACAAATGTAACATACCCAAACCTGAATTCCTGACCACCCCTCCAAAATGTACTGTAGCCAGTTTTCTCCAGTCCTCTTGGTGGCTACTTAACGCTTATAGCTGCTCAGATCAAAAACCTTGGCTCTTTCTCGACTGTCATAGACCTACATCCAATCTGAAAGAAAATACTATTAGTTCAGTTTTCAACCTAGAACTCTATCACCACTGAACTTCACTGTTACTGTCATCTCTTACCTGCACCACTGTATTCCAAGTGACCCGATGTATCTTTTAAAATGGATTATTTCTTATTTTCTCTACAATCTACTCTCAAAGCAGCAATCAGAAGTAATCCATTTAAAAAGATACATTCAGATCATATTACTCTCCTGTTTCAAAACCCTCCTATAGCTCCTGTTTTCACAAAAAAATAAGTCATCATTAAAGTCTTCACAAACTGTTTACAGGGCTTCCCTGGTGGCCCAGTGGTAAAGAATCCACCTGCAATGCAGAGGTTTCGGGTTCAATCCCTAGTACAGCAAGAAAACATGTACTTAATACAGAAAATAAATTAACTCAAGTAGCTAAGTGTAGTAATAAATAGATTAAATAGAATACAATATTTTGAAAAAGATATCTGATGCAAACTGTTCTATACAGAAGAGATAAGCAAGGTCCTACTGTATAGCACAGGAAACTATATTCAAGATCCTGGGATAAACCATAATGGAAAAGAATATGAAAAAGAATGTATGTATGAGTATCACTGAGTCACTTTACTGAACAGCAGAAATTAACACAATGTTGTAAATAAACTATACTTTAATAAAATAAATTTTTTTAAAAAGATATGATACTATATACAAATTTAGGTTATAATAAAAATGGCATCAACAGAAACATTAAATTCAGTTTAGTCTGGAGGGAAAAACCCACATACGGGAAGAGTACTCATTAGACAGCATTAGCTAATAATTTCAAACTACTGATAATCATTTTTCTAAAAAGAGCCTATACCACATTATTCCAATTAAAAAAGGAGCAGAAGAAAATATAAGCATTTATATACTATCCGGGGCAGGCATGCTGAGTCACTTTGGTCATGTCTGACCCTTGTGACCCTATGAGCCAAAGCCCACCAGGCTCCTCAGTCTGTGGGATTCTCCAGGCAAGAATACTGAAGTGGGTTGCCACACCCTCCTCCAGGGGGTCTTCTTGACCCAGGGATCAAAGCCACGTCCTCTGTGTTTCCTGTTTTAGGAGGCGAGTTCTTTACCACTAGTGCCACATCTTTCTATATGACACAAAGAGCAGGAAAAAAAAAAAGATAAGGAAAAGAATGGCACTTGACTATCTAAAAATCTAAAAGCACCATAACCAAACATAAGGCAAAGGATTAACTAGGGGAAAATATGACAACATTTTAAAAACAAAAAATAAGTAAATAAAACTTAGTCTAAGGTTTGGCTAACTCTGGCAAACTAATGTGTTGAAACTCAACAAACGCTTTACAAAAAATAAAGTTGCTGCTCCATTCAAAAAGCCAACTAGAAATCTTAGTCAATATAATGTGGGTGTGTAAGAAAAACAATACAATATGAAACTGCAACAGTGGGCTTATTCTCAAAGAAAACAGCCTTGTCTCTTCAAAGGTTGACCAATGAACATCCAATTCTGTTTTGAATTAAAATAAAATGTTTAAAAAAGATTCGTGCATTTAACTTTATGCAAATTGTACTTCACAAGGAAAAAAGTAAACAAATATTGAAACTATAGTCAGTGATAAGGATACTAAAGTATCTAGATGGAAATGCACTGATGTCTGCAGCTCACTTTAGATAGAAGGACAAAAGTGTGGTAAAACAAATATAGAAAGTTAATACTAAAAGCTAGAAGGTGAGTATATGAGTGCTCATCATAAAACTTCAGCTTTGCTACATGTTTAAAAACTTTTATAATAAAATGAGGAAAGAAAAAACTATTATTGATAGACTCAAACACTCTAATAGAAAAATGGACATTGGGCATAAAGAGGCACTTCACAGAATATGGCCAAACACAAGAGAAGATGTTCAAAGATGTTCTTTCTCACAACCTCAGAGCAAAGAAACAATAGCATTTCCCACCTATTAGCAAAGAGTAAAATGAATAGAGAAGGTATAGGAGAACTAAATGGTCTCATACATTCATCAGTGTTCAGTTCAGTTCAGTTCAGTCACTCAGTCATGTCCGACTCTTTGCGACCCCATGAATCGCAGCACGCCAGGCCTCCCTGTCCATCACCAACTCCCGGAGTTTACCCAAACTCATGTCCATTGAGTCGGTGATGCCATCCAGCCATCTCATCCTCTGTCATCCCCTTCTCCTCCTGCCCCCAATCCCTCCCAGCCATCAGGGTCTTTTCCAATGAGTCAGTTCTTTGTATCAGATGGTCAAAGTATTGGAGTTTCAGCTTCAGTGTCAGTCCTTCCAATGAACACCCAGGACTGATCTCCTTTAGGATGGACTGGTCAGATCTCCTTGCAGTCTAAAGGACTCTCAAGAGTCTTCTCCAATACCACAGTTCAAAAGCATTAATTTTTCGGCGCTCAGCTTTCTTCACAGTCCAACTCTCACATCCATACATGACCGCTGGAAAAACCATAGCCTTGACTAGACAGAACTTTGTTGGCAAAGCAATGTCTCTGCTTTTTAATATGCTATCTAGGTTGGTCACAACTTTCCTTCCAAGGAGTAAGCGTCTTTTAATTTCATGGCTGCAATCACCATCTGCAGTGATTTTGGAGTCCAGAAAAATAAAATCAGCCACTGTTTCCCCATCTATTTGCCATGAAGTGATGGGACCAGATGCCATGATCTCTGTTTTCTGAGTGTTGAGCTTTAAGCCAACTTTCTCACTCTCCTCTTTCACTTTCATCAAGAGGCTTTTTAGTTCCTCTTCACTTTCTACCATAAGGGTGGTGTCATCTGCACATCTGAGGTTATTGATATTTCTCCCGGCAATCTTGATTCCAGCAGTGTACAAGAATATAACTCCAGAAGGCAACTTCACAACCAAAAGGACTTCATTTATTTTTTCAGTCCCAGTAATTTATTCTAACAAGTAAGGTATGCAAAGATTAGAGAAATTCAGTACCATTGTTCAAAACAGTAAAAAACTGGAAATAAACTGTTACAGAAATTAGGTGTTACAGAAATCATATTTCACTATATGGAGCATACTGTTTATTGAACTGTTAAAGAATGATTATCAATATAAAATAACATACCAATAAAAAAATCTCTCTTGCTCCTTGGAAGAAAAGCTATGACCAACCAGTATATTAAAAAGCAGAGACATTACTTTGCCAACAAAGGTCCATCTAGTCAAGGCTATGGTTCTTCCAGTGGTCATGTATGGACATGACAGTTGGACTATAAAGAAAGCTGAGTGCTGAAAAATTGATGCTTTTGAACTGTGGTGTTGGAGAAGACTGCTGAGAGTCCCTTGGTCTGCAAGGAGATCCAACCAGTCCATCCTAGAGGAAATCAATCCTGGATATTCACTGGAAGGACTGAGGCTGAAACTCCAATACTTTGGCCACCTGACACGAAGAGGTGACTCATTGGAAAAGACCCTGATGCTGGGAAAGATTGAAGGCAGGAGGAGAAGGGATGGCAGAGGATGAGATGGTTGGATGGCATCACCAACTTGATGGACATGAGTTTGAGTCAGCTGCGGGAGCTGGTGATGGACAGGGAGGCCTGGAGTGCTGCAGTCCATGGGGTCGCAAAGAGTCAGACACGACTAAACTGAACTGACTGAAAAAATCTCCACTATATATGTAAGTGAAATATATGTTAGAAAATAGTGTGTATCACTGCACAATCAATATTTATACATATATGGTCCACATTTCAGTATCCAAAGTAATGATCAACTGAAAGCTTACAGTACATATGCTAATTAGTAAA